GGATTTTCAATTTAAACTTCTTCGATTACAAACGCGTTAACTCGATCGAAGGGAAGAGGGTAAAGCGAATCAAGCAAATGGCGAGGGGAGAGGCATATAGGAGTGGTCGGGTCGGGCCTCCGATTGGTCGAAACGGGTGAGCCGGATGCGGAGGTCGGGCCAAAGCGAGGGCGAGCTCTTGAATTATCCGTCTTAATTTGTCCGTCACGAGAATTAGCGCGAGTCGAATGAGGGACGCGGAGGGGAGGGGGGGAGGGAGGGATCCCGCGCGAGAGAGCACGAACGCGCGCCGGGGCCTCCCATGGTGCATCCAAACGATCGACCTTTCACCCTTTCCCCTCCGAACCTATACACCTATACTCCCTTTCCATTCTTTCCTTCCTCGAGTTTCAATCAATTTCCTCCTTTATCGATTATCGCGTCCTCCTTTATGTATCGATACTCGATACTCGGTGCTCTCGCGTTTCAACCTTTCTTTCAACGCGATTCGTTGTTTAATTATATTTGATTTAAGGATTTGCGCACAAGTCCTGACGTTTCATCTATACAAATCGTTAATAAGGTTCGCTTCGTTTATCCCTAATAGAGGCTCGGTTTCTAACGTGCTGCCTAACCATCGAAAGGTTCCGTAATGAAATCGCTTCCCCCCACCCCTTTCAGGTTCTTTTATTATGCAAAGGAGAAGGAACGGAGATACTTGACTCGAGTTGGAACATCGCCGTGCATCACCGATAATAGCCCTCATTTTCTCGGTTACGTTATCCATTCCAACGAGCAAAGTTAAGCCCCACGAAAATTCTTCCAACGAAGAAGGACTTCGCAACGAAGGGCCTTCACTTTGGACAGAGTTAAACCTCGTCTCGAGCATCATCATGAGAAAGCTGTTTGCTCGGCAAATACGCCGCAAATACGGTGGAGTATGTACAAAAAAAAAGAAAAAAGAATAATAATCCTTAATGTTGCTACCGACAGACTCCTTTTTCCCAACTCCTAACTTTTCGAGTGAGGTCCGATTGAAGTGGTGACGGGAGGAACTACACTCCGCTCGACACTAGTAACGTCATCTTGCGGAGATGACGCGAAAGAAAACAGACGGACAAAGGATCTTAATTAAAAGCGGAAGGTGGAAGGGGCAGTTCGAGCGAACGAGTTTACTCTCTTGTATACGTTTCGAATTTACACGTACGCTTGGAATGTCTTGGCCGAGTTTGGAAAATTGAAGGTGGTTGAAAGGAAACGAGGAGCGAGTGTCTCCACTTACCGAGAGTGCCGTCGAGGGAAAAGGAATGCCTGTCGTTTCTCCACGCCCACGAGCACAAATCACAGGTGGTGAGTCCGTCGGTGGTAACACCCTCCTCTGGTAAATAAGGCGGCCTAGGCGGCGGTGGCACGAAGCTCCCGATCACAGCCCAAAGCGAGTCGACGTCGTTCCCGACGCCCGTGTAGTACAGCAATTCTTCTTCGGCCACACCGGCGAACCAGTCCATGTCGTTCACGCCCGGGTGAACCGTGTTGGTGCTTGGCGTGCTCGTGCTGCCCACCGTCACCTGCAACGTCAATCGCACCATCGCACCATTTTCACAACACGTTTCAACACTTTCATTCCACGCTTCAAGCTGGAATTGAATTTTAATTTCTGAACGCGAATTCGAATTGAAAAAAAGAAGATACGCGCGCAGAGATCGCGCTCACTGAATCACCGGTACTAAATAACGAGTAAAAAAGTGCACCGTTCGTTTCGTCGCTCGAAGCGGTTGTTGCACGAGAGAGCGGCACTTTGTGAGCAGCCGGGCTCGAGTTCCTAACTCCTACGACAAACAGTGAAGACAGCGCGGGCGGTCGCAAACAAAAATCTTTCTCTTTTCGTTTCTCGTCCGCTGCAAGTTTTAAACCTCGGTAAACAGTGACGAAACGCTCGTCATCGGCCTTTTGGGATCGTTTCTCGTAATTGGGGCATCGAAGGAACGTTTCTTTTCCTTTCTTCTCTTTTTCAATTTTCTCGATGACAAGATTTCGATATTCGAGCACTATTAGACGTTAAAACGGCTTATAATAGTCAACGTAGGGGATTATAACGAGAGAGCACTTGTCACTTTTTTAATATTGAACTGTATAAACTCATCGTATCGCGAGGAATATGGCGCAAAGAACGCGAATTACATTCGTGCTTGCACAGTTTGAGGTTATCTGATGAAAATGATCAAGCCGAAGGAAATATTTCAGGAAAATATCGTGCGGATGATTGTAAAGTAAACTCGATTCGATTAATGCATCGAATATTGTCGTATTCGTGACGCGAAGAACCTCCCAGCGAGCACGTTTTAGGGAGGAGCGATTTTGAACGATTTTCTGGTATCGATGGTTGCACAAGCCGCGATTACCACGACGAACGAGACCATGTGCCACGAGACCGTGGCCGCCCCGAGCCATGAATTTCACACACGATTTCCCTCGGCTCGAAGAAATATCGACTTCCAACGCTGCATTTCTTTCGAACGACGAGAAATTGAAAGGAGAGTATTTATATTCGTCACAGTGCGAGCTTTGCCTTCGAGCCACGTGCGGTATAATTGACTAGGATATTATTAGGATAAATTGTAACAACGATCTCTTTGTGCATCTTATTTTTACCTTCTTGCGAAATAATTATTCAAAGATTATTACATTGTTTCCAAACCAACGTCGAAATAATATTTCAATCTTTTTAAAAAAGTAATATTTTTACTTTTAACTTTCGCGAGAATTACATCGTGTGTGGGTTTCGGTCGGTAAAGAAACTGTATCTATCACGAGGCGGATCGTGTGAATTTTTGCATTCTTTTTTCGCAGGGTTTCATCCAAAAAAGGAAAGATGTGACGCACGAAAAGGATCGAAACACCCCGGTGTCCTATGGGACAGGATGCTTTTGTGCCGAACGAAAGGGTCCATGATCATGATTATGGATGGGCCTTAACGTCGATGGAGCCCCATGGTCGGTTTACAATGGTACGCATTGATCGACTTAATTACCGTGATATCGACGTAATTAAAGCCCCGTTGTGTCAAGACCCTTCTCTCGAAGGCGTCGACAAAACCCGTGACTGGACTCCTGGCATCAGGATTCCATCACACCCTCCATTGCTCGCTCACTTTTTTTCTCTTTGTTCCGCCCGGGCCGAGAGGAGACCGCTCTGTCACTTCCTTCGCACGCCTCGCCGATGCTTTGTTGATAAGCTATTATCCGCACGGTGACGCATCCTCGACGAATTATCGCGTATTCCACGCTTCAGGCGTTTTCAATCACGTCACATAACAAAAAATGTAAACTCGAGACCGGTGCAGAAAAATTTCACGAAACTCTTGGTCGTCCATTACCGAACACTGGTTACGAGGATAAGTACGACATCTATAGTTGATTCGCGATCACGCCCTCTATATGCGTCGCGGATTGGAGAAACAATCGAACATCACCGTTTACCAGTCGTGTACGGTATCGCATCGCGTAGATCCAGGTTCGTTTGAAAATTTACCGTGTCCTTGTAGTTCATTTCCTATATTCCTTATATACGTTCAATTTATACGTTTTCGTGAAATTCATGCGAATACGTAAAACGGTTCGCACGCTTCTATTGCAATAGAAAGTATACGGTGTAAACGAAGAAACCTAACCAAATCGTGCAAAATTCTCGAGGAGTTTGGCAGGGATCGCGATCGTCTGAGCAGTCTGAATTCGGTGAGTAAAGAAATAACGTTTTGCTTCATTCGGTACGTACATACAGTTACGTTAACAAATGGAAACGAGGTCTACGAGGAATACGATTCTTGTCGCGGTACGTACGGTCAATTAACTCGTTCGGGAAAAGATCTCTTAGCAGGAAGGAGGTTTGATTGATTTGCGATCCTTGGTATCGACGTAACGAGCAGAAAGTGTTGTTGACGCCACGAGAGAAGCCCATAGCTTTCCGATCTCCTCCCGTTTTGCTCGTTACGTTCGAACGAAACGTATCGTTATAATTACGAGGCGTTGGCGTTTACGAGCGAAGGAACGATGCCTCGTACTTGTTAACCTCAACGTTCTCCTCGGCGCGCCATTCGTTGGTAGGTAACGCGAGCAGCGCCCTCTCGTTAAAGAATTCTTTAATTTCGCGCCAATGGATCGACTCGCGCGTTTATTACATTACACCGTCCACCATGCATTTTAAATCACGCAATCGTAAAGACTCGTTCGTCAGAAAAACTGATCGTTACAGAGTCGTTACAATTGGCACTCGTATACGTAGATTCTCGATGCTGAAAAAGATTTTATTCTCTCTCTCTTTTTCTCTCTCTGCACATCGTGAAACAAACACGCGCTAGAAAAAGAGACAGTTTCTCCCAGCGGGACAAAGGAACGATTCCCTCGTAAAATCGAAACGAATCTTTCCCACTGTCGACAAGGAACGCGTCACCCTGTACCCTTCCCCAAAACCCACTCCCCCACTTCGGAACAGGCACGAATTCCTCGGTCTCGGCTCGAATCCATCTCGGAGAATTACACGATGGAATTCGCGCCCTCTTTCCTTCGCGGTCGAGCTCTCTCGGCCCCTGTGTTTCGTCGGGTGCCGCGCTGTCCATTTGCAATTCTGACACACTTCGCGGCGCGGCTATAGAAGCGATCGGGACGAGGCCACGGAGGAATCTGTCCGCAGTTTGAAGGAGGAAGGTGCCGCGAGTGGCGGTAGCGTTGGAATACCAAACGATTCCCGGAAACTGCTTCTGCCTTACCCCTTGGCTCTCGCAGCCGGCCTTCCTTTCCTCTTCAATTTCGTCCTCCTCGTGTCGTTCGTTCGTTCGTTCGTTCGTGTCCTCGCGGTCGAAGAGAGACCTCCCCGTGCCTGCGAGTTTTCGGGCGCGATACGGAGGAGGGGGATGTGGAGTCTCCGTGGCCAGGTTTAAGGGGTCGTTAAGAATGGGTTCGAGGGCCAGGGCCGTATATAACGGATAATTGACAGCCAGTCCCGGGGCCGCCGTTTACTTTGCATGGACATTGAATCCGCGCGGCAACGAATGGACGAGCGGACGGACGAGCGGACGGATGGACGAAACGAGACGAAAGAACATCGACGTGGGACCACGAAATTCGAACTCGAGGGAGATACG